CCCTAAGGTCAACCCTTCACTCATCTGGGAAGATTGGATTGAGGTTGACCTCAGAGAGGTCAAGGTCATCACTCAGGTTGAAACTCAAGGTCGACACGGAAATGGACACGTGAGTATAGAGGATGATGATTGTGGCGTACGTGGTGATGATGACGATGACGATGAAGATGATGATGACGATGAAGATGATGATGACGACGAGGTAGATGCGCGGAATGGTTAGAGGTCCAAATGTTCAGAATGTAATAATGAGAAGCAATTTCATCTGCATACACAATTAGCGCTTTCCGTTATCGTCTTCCTCTTCCTGCTGCCCATCACCATCAAAATCATTGATGACGTCATCGTCGTTAGGAGTGACGTCATCGGCATCACTTTCGTCATAATCATCACAGTCTAATTATAATTATTATCAGCGCTTTTGTCATAGTCGCTTTTTAATAATCATAAAATTTATAATTACAAAATTACAACTACTACTATCACTACAACTACTGCTACTACTAACTACTACTACTGCTGCTGCTACTACTACTACTACTACTACTACTACTACTACTTTTGCTGCTTTTGCTGCTATTTATAAATAAATATATATTTATAAATATATATATGCGATCATAATTTGTTAATTACGTCATCATGACGTAATAACAAATGTCAGTATTATCATCATCGTCGTCGTCATCATCTTCATCATCATCATCTGTGCAGTCATTAATCATTGTTATCGTTTGGCTTTATTATCGTTAATATGGAGCTAGGTTTTTTGTTGTTGTTACAGATGTTATTATCTTTATAATTATTATTATTCATATTATTATTATTCATATTATTATTATTCATATTATTATTTATTGTTATTTTTATTTTTCAAGTGATCACATGCGCCATTTATCTTGATTACGTCACTGGCTTAGGTGCTTCTGATGCACGCATTAACAATTTCAATCCGAGCTTCTGCGTGCGTGTGTATATGTGTGCGTGTGTGTCTGTGTGTTAGTATGTGTGTATGTGTGTGTGTATGTGTGTCTGTGTGTGTGTGTCTGTGTGTATGTGTGATTGAATGTGTGTGTATGTGTGAATCCACACAAATCCACTCATTTCGATTTAACAATCTCTAGAAACTTATATTTCAGAGACTCTTATCCATCGATAAGAACAAAAAGTAATCATTAAAACATCATCAACAGTATCAGCATCATCGTCATTGGTAGTAGCAGCAACTGTAGCAGTCACACTAGCAGCTACAAAAGCAGCCACAAAAGCAGCAGCAGCGACAACAACAACATCGTCGCCATCATCATAACGATCATCATTATTATTTGTTGCAAAATAGAATTAGGCATTCATGCGGTGAGGTAATCTTTATGAAATTATGCTCTGCTAGAGTGTTCGCATGTTTGTATGTATGTTTGTTTGTTTGTATGTATGTGTGTATGTTTGTTTGTATGTATGTTTGTTTGTTTGTATGTATGAGTGTATACATACGTACATGTAA